TCATTAATTATGATATTGTGACTTTTAAATGAAGTACCTGTGGTAATTTAGGAGATTTGTCACTGATAGTGGAAAAATGAAGCAGACGATGAAATATATGTTACATGGCGTAAGATGTTGTTGTCCAAACTTCGGTTATTTCCGTGGTACAATAAAATTTAAATAAACTGCACAAGTTACTAAAATTTCTAAATTCTTGTTTTTGTAAACAAATAAAAATTCATGTCGTATTTAACATCGAATTTATTCCGTTTTGTCCCGTTTTTTCAAGATCGCGATTAAACGAGAATCTGGTAGCCATTAAAAATATTAGGGTTAAACTAATGTCCTGACAATGTCCTGACGGATATTCCAATGCTAATTTCGTTGTCATTATTTGAAGAATTGACTTTATATTTGGAGCAAAGCAAGAATACAATATTTATTTAATAAATTTAAGGAAAAAAAAGATAAAAAAAAATTTTTAAGAGTTAGATAACTTGACTTGATCAACTTCGATTTTTTTTTTTTTAAATCGTACGAGATTTAACGAGAATGACGAAACTTTTTAGATTGATCATGTAGAGAGAGTTATCGTTCTTTATTCCAATTCGATGCTTCTACCATAAGTGCCAGCTAAAGCTGGCATACTAATTAGTGGATAACAGATCTACAAACTGATTGGGGTTGATTAAAAAACAAATATAGAGAAGTTTAGGTTAATAAAGCATAAATTTTGTGATAAATGCGGCACTTAGTTTTGAATATTAGTCTGTTAATTGAGGTGAAATTTAACAGTCACCATTTTCACCAAAAGGAAAAATTAAGGCTTTCAAGTTTGACATTTTAAACTGCATTGTAAAATGCATTGAATGATTATTGTTATAATATGCTTATTATCTAGTATATTTATTTATTTAAGATTTGGGTTATTTTAATTTGTGTGGTAGCTTTATGATATCAAAAAGATGGTGAAGCGCTCAGACATAAACTAACACGAAAAAAATCGTCAACATACACCCATAAAAAAAAGGGCAATATATTCGCATTTATCAACAAGGGAAAAACACATGGTTTTTGTCGAGCCTTCGACTTTTGTCGAAAAAGCGAGACATAGCGATCCTACATTCCGTCGGCGTCGTCGTCGTCGTCGTCGGCGGCGGCGGCGTCCACAAATATTCACTCTGTGGTTAAAGTTTTTGAAATTTTAATAACTTTCTTAAACTATCCTGGATTTTTACCAAACTTGGACAGAAGCTTGTTTATGATCATAAGATAGTATCCAGAAGTAAATTTTGTAAAAAATAATTCCTGTTTTTCCGTATTTTACTTATAAATGGACTTAGTTTTTTCTGCCAGGAAATATAACATTCACTCTGTGGTTAAAGTTTTTAAAATTTTAATAACTTTCTCAAACTATCCTGGATTTGTACCAAACTTGGACAGAAGCTTGTTTATGATCATAAGATATCATAGTATCCAGAAGTAAATTTAAAAAAAAAACTCCTGTTTTTCCGTATTTTACTTATAAATGGACTTAGTTTTTCTGCGAGGAAACATTACATTCACTCTGTGGTTAAAGTTTTTTAAAATTTTAATAACTTTCTTAAACTATCCTAGGTTTGTACCAAACTTAGACAGAAGCTTGTTTATGATCAAAAGATAGTATCCAGAAGTAAATTTTGTAAAAAAATAAATCCATTTTTTCTTTAGTTTACTTTTAAATGGACTTAGATTTTCTGCCAGGAAACAACACATTCACCTTGTGGTTAAAGTTTTTAAAATTTTGATAACTTTCTTATACTATTTTGGATTTGTACCAAACTTGGACAGAAGCTTGTTTATGATCAAAAGCTAGTATCTAGAAGGAAATTTTGTAAAAAAATAAATCCATTTTTTCCGTATTTTACTTTTAAATGGACTTAGATTTTCTGCCAGGAAACAACACATTCACTCTGTGGTTCAAGTTTTTAAAATTTTAATAACTTTCTTATACTATTTTGGATTTGTACCAAACTTGGACAGAAGCTTGTTTATGATCAAATGCTAGTATCTAGAAGGAAATTTTGTTTTCTTCCAGTTAACATTACATTCAGTCTGCAGTTAAAGTTTTTAAACATTTATTAGATTCATAAACTATCCTGGATTTTTACCAAACTTGGACAGAAGCTACTTACAATCAAAAGATAGTATCAAGAGGAATATTTTTATTGATTTATTTCCTCATTTTTGTTGAGCCTGCGATTAACAGAAAAAGTAGGCGAGACACTGGGTTCCGCGGAACCCTTACAAATTTTTTCTTAGAAGTATTGTTTTTGATTTTCCTATAAGAACTTTTGATTGAAAACATATATCACAAACACGACTTATTACAGAATTTTACTTGTAAGGAGTAACACATGTATCACTAGCAGAACAGCAACCCACAATATTTGTTAGAGTTTGTGTTGCTCAATTTTTAGCCTTTTGTGTTATGTGTTTTTTTTTACATTTGTTTGTATTATTGATGTTTTTCTTTTGGAAATGGTGTTTATTTGTTGTTCTTTGACTTATGATTTATATGGGCTCCTTGATATCATCTCTCTCTTTTTTTGTTATTGACAGGTTTTTTGTTTCATCAGAAGGTTGATTTCCTAATGGAAATAACATAGCACCTGTTAGATGACTTGTTCTTATTTTCATGTTAAGTAAAATTGATACAAAACCTATACATATAAGTTATTTTCAATCATATAATTTTTTTTTTTAGATATGCTAATTTGAAATTTTGATTATGATAAAAAAAATATATACTAATTAGTGATCATCTAGTGGATAATAGACCTACAAAGTGCCAAGAAAATCCACTTTATATCTTGATCTGTTCCTTGAAATTGAAACAGATGAATGATCTAAAACTCAGCTCTATAGCAAACTTTATGATTTCAGTTTTCTTATGGTAAACTTATTTCGGGTCCAATTTGGTGGTGTTTCATCTTACAAAGTCTTTCCAAATCATTTTGCATAGAATTCCGCTTTTCCGCTCAAACTGATGCTAGGGACCGTCTTAAACTTGCAGTTAGGTAAGAGTTTTTTTTCTCTGTGTTGAAGGCCTCACTGTAACTTTGAGATGAAGAACAGCAATAAAAGCGCTGTTCCTTTGCTTTTTGTGTGTTTGTTTTTTGCTGTTCATGTACTGATTTTGTGTCATGGATGGATACTCCATATCCTTTGTTTTTCTATTACCATTCTGGAGTAATTACATATCCTTTGTCCTAACATACATACAGGGTTTACATGTCTCTGCTGATATATTCATAACTGGAAATCCCCTCCAGCAGAGTTATGTGGAAGAACAATTCCATTGTCACCCTTACAAATTAGTGGATTGCTACAATGTTTCAATTTCATAATGAACTAGGGATATTAGCTCTGTAATAGATCCAATCTTTCCATTGAAGTCCATTTGGCATTATTACATGTTTATCATGTTCTCACCGTTGCCATTTCCAACTGATTTTGGAATTATATTATGGGAAATGGATTATGAGCAGGAGATCCTTGCACATGTTGGTGCACCAAGTCATACTCCCATTTGGACTTTACCAGTCTAATTGCTTTTACTTGTCTGTTTGGACATGACATATATTTTCAACTGACATCAGTATGCGGACTTTATACTTTGAAATAAGATTTTAACAAGTTCAAGGCACTGTGGTAATAAAAGACATATTCTCAAATGGTTTAGAATTATGGGAACATTACTTTTTGATATTCTTATTGGTTCAAGCCTCAATAGCAAGATGTTAATTCATGCAGAAGAAACTTAAATTTTTGAACTTGTTCTTAAACAAAAAGTAAAAATAACAAAAATACCGAACTCCAAGGAAAATTCAAAACGGAAAGTCCTTTATCAAATCAAAAGCTTAAACACATCAAACGAATGGAAAACAACTGTCATATTCCTGACTTGGAACAGGCATTTCCTTATGTAGAAAATGAACAACACAGACTTATCTCAGAGCCTCTTATACTTCAAGTTTTGTGAACATCTAGATTTTTTATGTTTGTAAACAACAAACATACAACTGATTTTTTAATTGGTTTTTAAATTAATGATTGAACTTGTTAAACTAAGAACACTCAAAGGTTTCATGTTTCTCACATACATGTTTGGCTAATGATAATGTAACTGTAAGAATGTATTGCTTTATAACATGTTTCTCACATACATGTTTGGCTAATGGTAATGTTACTGTAAGAATGTATTGCTTTATAACATGTTTCTCACATACATGTTTGGCTAATGGTAATGTTACTGTAAGAATGTATTGCCTTATAACATGTTTCTCACATACATGTTTGGCTAATGGTAATGTAACTGTAAGAATGTATTGCTTTATAACATGTTTCTCACATACATGTTTGGCTAATGGTAATGTTACTGTAAGAATGTATTGCCTTATAACATGTTTCTCACATACATGTTTGGCTAATGGTAATGTAACTGTAAGAATGTATTGCCTTATAACATGTTTCTCACATACATGTTTGGCTAATGGTAATGTTACTGTAAGAATGTATTGCCTTATAACATGTTTCTCACATACATGTTTGGCTAATGGTAATGTTACTGTAAGAATGTATTGCCTTATAACATGTTTCTCACATACATGTTTGGCTAATGGTAATGTAACTGTAAGAATGTATTGCCTTATAACATGTTTCTCACATACATGTTTGGCTAATGGTAATGTTACTGTAAGAATGTATTGCCTTATAACATGTTTCTCACATACATGTTTGGCTAATGGTAATGTTACTGTAAGAATGTATTGCCTTATAACATGTTTCTCACATACATGTTTGGCTAATGGTAATGTTACTGTAAGAATGTATTGCCTTATAACATGTTTCTCACATACATGTTTGGCTAATGGTAATGTAACTGTAAGAATGTATTGCCTTTTAACATGTTTCTCACATACATGTTTGGCTAATGGTAATGCTACTGTAAGAATGTATTGCCTTATAACAAATAGTCTTTGAGTATAAACATTTATTTTAATAAAAACTAGGATTTCAACAAAATACAAAAATGTAAATTAGTTTATAAAAAAATCAAAAAGGATTTCAACATTATGCAATAATGTAAAATAGTAAAAACAAACAAATCAACAAATCATTGGAATGTATAGTAATGGACAATCATTTACACAAAATGGGCTCATAATGACTATACTAGTATCGATTTGAGTTATCCCTTACCTTTTTATGATGGAACTTTTTTTTTACAATGACCATCTCCATCTCAATATAAAAATAAGGAGACGTGTATGATTGCCAATGAGACAACTATCCACCAAAGTTCAAATGAAGTGGCTGTAAGCAATTAATGTACGTTTTGCACTTACTTACAATGATACAGTCTCAAATGGTCAATAATTTTATCCAATCTTTATTAAATAGCAAAATGTCAATAATTCTTTCCTTTATATACTGCATATTTGTAACTACATATTTAAAATGAAGATATGTAACCTTTCAAATTGTGACTTGTTATAATTATATTTTAATAATTTTGTAACATTGAATGTTTACAACATGGAAGAAATTAATTAATTTAATAAACATAAGCTACCAGGCTGAATTAGATTCCTAATATGAAAAACTAATGATTTTTTTTTCAGATGCACATTTTATTTATTTTACCCAACATATTTTATCCATACTTATTTTTTTCCCAAGGTTTTAGTTAATATGTATATATATGATATTAAATATCATTAATCTATACAACAATCCTCTGTAGCATCTATATACAATAGACCTAAAAATGTTTATTGTTGTACTGATAATACCATCAATATCATAGATGAAAAAATATTAATGTTTTGCTCATATGAATTATAAATTAGTGTCATAATATTGTAACTTCATTCAGAATTATGACATTATTTTTTTCCTAGCACTACAGATCATGAATTTTCATTATATATAACTATATATGGCACTTTTCAATACAAATGTGTATACACATTATTATGAGTATAAATAATAAAAAAATTTAGTTACTTTCTATTTACACATACTGTAGCCCAGTAGATTATTTTATGACCCAGTAACAAGTATTATATGATATGTAATCTCATAAAAACAAGAGTGTACATGCTGAAATGTTTCACCTGCTGTTCTCATCATATAATCATCATGGTTGAATTTATGTTGAAAGTCAGTATTATGAAGGTTTTAATACTACAAGTATCAGATAAACTTAACATTAATCCATGTAAATGAGGTTAAGGTCAGATGAACCCTGTCAACAGAAATGTTCACCTTACAATCATATTATGCACCAAATATAATTAGCCTATTGCTTATTGTATTTGAGAAACAGACCTAAATACGAAAATGGAACATAAACCAATGAGTCATTAAAATTAAAATGGGATCAAAGGTCAGATGAACCCTGTCAGACAACATGTACACCATGTTATCATTCCTTTCAACAAATAAAGTTGACCTATTGCTTAAAGTATCTGAGAAACAGAGATAACCCTGAAAAATCAACATGACTAATGAACTATGAAAATAAAGTCAAATATCAAATGAACCCTGACAGATAGTACACCTTACTATCATTTCATTCACCAAATAAAGTTGACCTTTTGGTTATACTTTCTGAGATGTGGACTTGAAGACAACTTAAACTTGATCACTGATCTATGAAATGAGGTCAATGTCTGGTTCCGGTTGATTGTAATCCATATGTCTCGCATTCTGTGATAAAAGTCGCAGGCAAGACAAAAACACTTGCAATAATGTTAAATAGCATTTCACACATGTTCTATAATATTTATACATTACATGATTCCATTTAGCTAAAAACAACCCAATTTTTATAATATTAAATAGCATATCACTTATGTTCTGTAATATTTATAAATTACATGATTCCATTTATCTGTAAACAACCCACTTGTTATAATATTACATGGTATACTACACACTTGTTCAATATATTTTAAAATACATGATTCAACTAAGCTGCAATTTAGTTCAATCTAGCAGAAGTTCACAAGAAAAAATTGTTACCGTTTCATTTTATCTTTAATAATGATAAAAATCTCTAAATCTTCATTTCACAATGAAGTTTGAGAAATTATAAAATTTAAGGCAAACTTAAAAAAAAATCAGAAAAAACCAATTTTAAGATTGGTTTTAAATTCTGTGTAACATGACACAGTCACCAGGTCTATATGTACTCAGTAACCACCAAACAAGATTGGTTTATTAAAAATAACTTTTTGTTAACTAATAAGCTCTTCAAAAGATGCATTGTGAACATGGTTTGGTCCCATTTAAAAAAAAATCAAAATTGATAAGAAGATATAATTTAAAGATTTCAGAGCAGAAGTATAAAACAGGAAGAGTGTAATATAATTGAATCCATGCTTATATCACAATGGGGCAGACAATAAAACAAATATTTTTCCACACTAAAACCCATTTTTTCAACTTCCTACAAAGATTTAAATCATCCAACTGCAACAGTCTATTTTTTGTCTCCGCCATCTTCTAGCCTTTCCAATAGAAAGTTGTGTCATATTTTTACTGATGTCAAAGTATTTTGGACTTTTCCTATACATGTATTACTGGCAAAAAGATGCATTTTTCATGTTAAACACAGTATCAAGTATTAACAGTGTTTGAAGTTTGATAAACATGTTAAGGTAATTGAGGAAACTAAATTTTTTAAATTATGAGTTCCTATTTTTCACCAGTTTTAGTTAAAAATTGAAGTTTGTCAGACAAAATGGGATAACTCAGACCTAACTGGTTATAATTTTACTTCTATGGTTTTTGTGCTTTGTTTCGGGTATCCATTAAAAAACATTTTGAACATAAAATTAAAATTGATATTCAAAATCACCAAACTAATGATGTTCTGATTATCCATTATAATTTTCAGTATTTTATAATCAATAAAGTATAAATATTCTATAATTTTCTTTTAGGAAACCTTTTGACACCTCTTTGTCAATGTAAGGAATGCCTTTAAACACCTATAAATTATCCATTTTGCACATATACACCCTTTTTACATGTTTTAAGCATACAGTAGTGAGTAAGGTGTATTTATGGATCTGAATGTTTGAGTAATTCTTCTACAATACAACATATGACCTGCACGAGTATTACATAAGGAAAAGTGCGTCATTGTGAACTAAATTCCTACATTACTTGCATATAAATCAAAAAAATGATTTTACTTGAAATTAAATCAGAGCATGCTGTTCTATTATTCAGATTAATCGATCATAACTTTCCAGCCAATTCCCCACACTAAGATAGCTTTTTTTTGCTGTTTCTTTTTGAAATTTTGAAAAATAAGTTGAAATACATAGGAAATCCCTGAAATATCTGATGTCTCTTTCCTCAAACACTCTAAATTAATTTTGAATATCTTCCTCAAATCATGATTAATTCTGTAAACCTGTCATTTTAAAAGTCCATGCCCATTCACATGGAACAGTTTTCACAGATAAGGGTGGTATCTGTATATTAATTCCTTTCCCACCAGCTCCAGCTGTCCATGTTACTTTTTCGGGATATCCCAACATGCTGACAGTTGTATCCTTCGATGTTATAGGTGCTCCAAGTTTTACCAAGTTATTGTCGGGCCATTCCAGCAGTATTGCATAGACATCAGTTTCTGTAGACCCCTTCTTCATTGTATACCTAGCAAAAGATGTATTCAGTATCCTACACTACTTCAATTTTTAAGATTACAAAAACCATGAAAATAAGATGTAAGTCATGGTCTAAAAAAAAAATTCAACACAGGAATAAAAAACAACTCAGATTTTTTTTTTGTCTCACAACTGCTATCATCATATGTATAGGCATTGTAAGAGCAGATTTATCAGTGGTATTTAACTATTTAATAGTGGGCAAAATGCACTGATACGCATTCCCCTGTAAATATGAGTTCCTCAGGACACCTTGATTACTTAAATTGTTTCTAAGGAATTCTATCAAACTGCAAACATGTTAGTAGAGAAAAGTCCTACTACCGGTACATTAACAGCATTGCCATTATCATCACAGAAACCTTTATACAAATAACATCATTTATTTTTCAAATAACACTTGGTTTACTTTCATTTATATATTTATTAATATTTATGGTATATCTTTTATGTGTAGTGTTGGAAGTTTTCAGAAAGGTATTTTAAAACAAACAGGTATATTCAAGAAACAGCTTATCCCCTATGAAACAATTTTGTTATTTAGTAGAAAAAAATCAGTTTTAAACAAAATTACAGCCTGAAGGTATAATCTATTTACATTAAAATAATGAACTAAATCATTTCCACTTATTTTTAAACTTTACTAATTGTTAATAATCTCTTCTTTAAATAGTTTTGTTATCCAAGTGATCAGGTTGTTAGTACACTATTAAACAATTTCTACATACCACACGTTTTTAACAACAGTGTCATTCTGGTGAACCCAGGGTTTAGTTCCATAGATTCCATCTCCATTTACACGAAGCCATTGTCCCATCTGATGGAGTCTCTCTTGATAAAGAGGACTAATCGTTCCATATTTTGTAGGACCAACACTCATCAACATATTACCTCCACAGCTAAATACAGGAAGTGGAAAAACATATAGTTACATAAAAGTATACTCATTTGAACAAAATGAAATATGTCACCTTAAGGTGGTACCCAACACCTTGACTTCATTCTAATTTGGCTCGTTTAATTTTCATAAAATTTTGACAAAATGTTTACTTTGACCCTTTGACAAAAATATAAAAATTTCAAAAAATTTGAACCAACCACTTTATCAGAAAAATTTCGTTGGTTATATAGCAGTTTGACAAACACTAATTTTGATCATTGAGAAGCTTAATATTTCCTTAACAATACAACGTAATTAAAACGTTTAGCTGATTTTTACAGAGTTATCTCCCTGTAGTGTTAGGTACCACCTTAAAGGGCAAATAAAAAAATCAAATCATTAAAAATAACCATTCAAACAACCATCAAACAAACATTTAACCTGTAGAATGAAAATGGGTAATAATATCCCAAAAAGAAAGAACTGCTTCCATTGGATAAGCTTCTAAATAAAAACTTTAACCAACAACCCACAAATACAAGAACAATTTTTTTTGGGATCACTGCTGTTGCCTGTGACTGGATCTGTCAGTGTAAACTCATAATGTTGACTGCTGCTGTTGCCGTAAACGTGAAATGTTGTCTGCCAAAAAATTAACAGTGAAATGTTGTCTGCCAGAAAACTCCAATTATCAGTTAAATACACAAAATTGAATAAGAAGAAAAATCAAAACATTGCTCAGGGTGCTTCTTGATTGTGAAGGAGCTTCTTTCTTAGCTTTTTAAACTTCCATAAAGATTTGACAATGTTAATAAGTCTAAAAAAAATTAACCTCAGACTGTATTAAACTGTTAGTGCAAATAAAAGAAGTCAATCTGTCAGTAAAATACAGAAAAAGGAAATAAATATTTTCAAAATTTTTTCTGGATGCTGTCTCTTGATCAGCAAAATACTTCTGTCTAAGTTTTTTTTTAAATTCCATGAAGATTTGACAGAGTTATTGATGTCTAAAACACTCTCCCCACAGACTGAACCTTACTGTTGACAATGCAGGCAAAGCTGACAACAGAATTTAGGATAGTGATGTTAAGCCTTTGCTACTTTCTTCCAACAGGAGACAAAAAATTGGACCTAAAACTAGCACGAAAATATTTAAGGAATACCCAGTCCTTTTTTTATTACCTGACAGTAGAAGTAAGCTGTGATATAAGATCCTCTATTGTTAGGAAATCTTCAATCCTAGCATTTTTGCGGTATCCCCAGGAAAATTTGTCTATTGTCATAGCATTCTCCCATTTGTGGTTCTGCAGCTTGCCTTTAAAATAACATAAAATATTCACTTTTGAAATTAACTTATTATTTACATTCTTCTCCTAAAAAAAATACTGCATATTATACAGTGTACATTACTTGAGTGTTAGTGTCCTTTAACCTCATTCCATGTAATTAATTTTAATGTTAGTCATACTTTGTAATTCAAGTGAGTTTGTGTATGTTTGTTTTGTTCACACATTGTTGTCAATATATTGGAATTTTATGTGATTGTCATACAAGTGAGAGGTTTAGCTAGCTATAAAATCAGGTTTAATCCACTGTTTTCTACATATGGAAATGCCTGTACCAAGTCAGCAATATGACAGTTGTTTTCCATTAGTTTAATGTGTTTGAGCTTTTAACTTTGCCATTTGATAAGGGACTTTCCGTTTTGAACTTTCCTTGGAGTTCCGTATTTTTGTTATTTCACTTTTTACTTAGTTTGTGTGCATCCTGTCTTTCAAGAAAAGCCAAATAGATTTTCAATACTTTAAGCAGATACATGTGTACCGGTATAGCTCTTGGTATTTCTAACAATATATTGCATCATAAATGAAGAGTCTAGATTTGACTCTTTAAATTTTCCCTAGTCGTAGAAGTAGTATGCCCCAGGAATAGTGAAGATTTCACAGTATTCAATTTTATAAAAATAATGAAAACCATGCCTGTAAGAGGAAACCATGCCTGTAAGAGAGAACCATGCCTGTAAGAGAAAACCATGCCTGTACAGATAAAACCATGCCTGTAAGAGAAAACCATGCCTGTACAGAGAAAACCATGCCTGTACAGAGAAAACCATGCCTGTACATAGAAAACAAAACAGGCAGAAGATACCAAGGGGACATTCAAAACTAACAAGAATTCTGTGAGTATTGCATGGCAATACATAGTCCCCTACCGGTTAAAATATCATTGTAATGGAACGAAATTCTAACTTGATCTATAACTTGTCATGGTGTAAACTACATAAAATAATAAACCTACCACTAAATTCTTCAAACAATTTACTAAAGAAAAGGAAAAAAATCCAAAATGTCATTTATCTTAATACAATGTCTTTTACAAATCTTTTAAAAAATGAGTAATTTCCTTTTGAACAGAAATCTAGTAATTAATAAGTATTTCATCAAAAATTTAATTCTAGGGAAAGTTAAAATATGAGTTATTTCCCTTTGAACAGAAATCTAGTATTTTTTAAGTATTTCACCAAAAATTTAATTCTAGGGAAAGGGCCTTGACTGAACAAGGAGAAAAGCCAAAATCGTGAAAATCGAACTTGACCTGTAACTTGTCATGATAAAATAATACACCAAATATCAAATGGGCAATTAACCCCAAACTAATTCCCAGCATTCCCTTTGTGATATGGAACCTTGTGGAAAATTTTCAGACAGATCCATACACTAACATACAAGTTATTGTCCACAAACTACAAAAATGCTTCTTTTTGGCCCCTTTTTGACCCCTTAATTTGCTCAACGTTTGGAACCATAACCCCCAAAATTAATCCCAACCTTCCTTTAGTGGTATTGAACCTTCTGGTAAAAATCTATAGAGATCCATTCACTTAAACTAAAGTTATTGTCCGGAAACAAATGCGTCTTCGGACAACGCAGACGACGACATGATAGCATTATATGACGCAAAAAATTTTTTGCGGTCATATAAAAACAACATGAAAAGACAAACAAGTCCACAAAATAATATATAGAAAACTAAATAAAATTAACATTTATCACATTGCTAATACCTGGATTAAATCTATCAGTACATGAAAAATATCCACCATGTTTACAGGGACATCCATGTCCCCATCTGTCATTGGTCACTACTGTATCTTTTACTGGACTGCAAAGTTGAGCAAAACAATTGAACAAGTTGTATAGTTTTCACTGTGAAATTTACACAGGTCCAAAGTACCAACCAAATTACAAGGATACCTACTCTTTAACCAGTGTTGTGTGAAAATTTAGAAAAATATAAACTTTAGTTATTTCTAGAATTGAGAAATATTAAAAAAAGTCTTGAAAATGAAGCAGCTACTAAATTTTTATGCCCCTGCAACTAAAAGTTGGGGGGCATATTGTTTTACCCCTGTCTGTCTGTCCGTCCATCCGTCTGTCTATCCTTCCATCTGTCCCATTATGGGTACATAGTTATTCCAGATAACTCCTCCAACAGTTTGAATGCTAGGGAGTTTTCCCTTTGCTGGCTGTTTGAATATATTGAAGGTGTGCATGTGGTCAGGGTTTTGATTTTTATCAATATTTGCTCTTTTGGGAGATAGTTGAACTTTGTCATTTTTTGGAGTATTTACTTGCATAAGAGGTGCATAGTGTTTCCGGATAACTCCTCCTACAGTTTGAATGCTAGAAAGTTTTCACTTTGCTGGGTGTTTGTACATATATTGAAGGTGTACATGAGGTCAGGGTTTTGATTTTTATTAATATTTGCTTTTTTGGGAGAGAGTTGAACTTTGTCATTTTTGTGGAGTATATACTTGCATAAGAGGTGCATAGGGTTTCCGGATAACTCCTCCTACAGTGAACCATAGACCTATGTGCTCCCATGCTCAACTTTGTGTATATCAAAATAACACATTGCATTTACGGGGGCATCATTTGTGTCTCCAAGACACAATAATATCTCAAAGAAAGTCCTACATTGACTTTGTTATAATACAGTTACTTCAGAGTGGAGTGTGGGGGCATCACTTTGTCTAGTTTTTATCTGATTCTTGTGAATAATGATGGAAAATTTCATATACATGTACAATGTCTTAAAGATATGATATGAGCAACAGCCTCACCCAAACATATATTTTGCTACAGGAAATCTCATACAAAAATGTTGATGTTAGTAAAATATCCTTTATAGGTAAATTTGCTACTAAAATTTAATTTGATCCAATGCTACATTTAAATCTGCCAATTGAATTTGATCCAATGCTACATTTAAATCTGCCATGTAATAAATTCAAATATATGTCTATTTTGACTTGTTAATGTCACCATATGCTTAACTGCTAAACAGATTTAAGAATTCACTATTCCTCATAAACTTAATCAAAAAAGGAAAGATATCAAAGGGGCAATCTCAGTCTAAACACACTTGTGCAGTTGATTGTCATAATCACTGTCAAAACAAAGTTTTACTGAAATGATTTTTTCACTGGTCATTTAGTAAATAGATTCTAACCAGATTTTTGTACTTTACAAAATACCACAAAAATTATGATAACTGTGAAAAAAATGACCAATTGTGGCATTCTATTCTGTAGTTATAACTGAAGTTAATACTGACCTTTCATTATAAAGCCAAGCCAGGAAGTTGGTTGAATTCCAGTAGGCATCAGCAGCCTCCCAGTCTCCATCAGACCATATAACTTCAGGTTTGTACGCATTCACCAGTTCATATAATTCAGGCATAGTCTTGGTCTAAAAAATGTTAAATCATTTTGAGATCACTTTTGCAAATACTAAAAGCATACTCATATTTGTATAATAAAATGCTTCGCTGAGCCCAGCCTGATACGACCGCAGAGGTCAAACCCTGAACAGTTGGGGCAAATTTGGATATAATATTCAAGCTTGATACTGTCTGAATTTTGATTGTGATCAAATTTTTGACATAATATAGGTTTCTGACACAAAATAAATGTGGTAAAAGATCTTACAAATCTACTGCGCAATACTGTGCAATTGAAGATTACTTCTTGAAACTTTTACAAAATTTGAAATTTGAAAATTTTTGAAAAAAATATGAATTCCTTAAAAAAATTGGAACACCCCCCCCCCCCCGCCGCAATTACCCCAAGACTCGATCCAATTCTTTCCTTTGTAGTATGGAACCTTGTAGTAAAATCTCGGAGAGATCCATACACATCTAACACAAGTTATTGTTTGGAAACTAGAATAATGCATGTTTTTGGCCCCTAATTCCTACATGTTTGAGGAAATTACCCCCAAACTCAATCCCAGCCTTCCCTTAGTGATATGGAACCTTATGGTACAATATAAGAGAGATCCATACACTTACACACAAGTTATTGTCTGGAAACTACAAAAATTGTTGTTTTTGGCCCCTTTTAGGCCCTTAATTCCTAAACTGTTTGCCCATTATCTGACATTACAAGGCATGACCCTGACTGTTTTGAATCATTTGGTTTGTCAATGATCATATTGTTTTGATGAGTTTGATTTTCTAAACTTTTTATTAGAGCTTTGATGGTGTTATTTAAAAAAAACGTGTCATGCCCTAAGAAATCAATAATGTAGGGTTTTGCCTATAATAAATGCTGTTATAATGGTGTTACATTTGAAGAATCAAATTTCCTAATATCCACCACATGTCATCAAAACAAACAACAACAGCTTAGCTTATACTTGTGCCTGCTAATTATGTTTGTTTCATGTCACTTGTATATCTAACTTTGCTGTTCGTATGCTAATCCTTAGTTTAAAATATATGTTTATGTAGACCATAAATCTAAAAGTAAACTGTTGACGCAGAGATATGTCTGGCCTTTAAGAAATTTTGATAGTAAAATAATTTGTTGAAATTAAAATGGCAATACTTCAACAAGTAATGAAAAATTGAAAGTTTATTAGCAGCCAAAGTTTTCAATTGACAATCAATGAATGAAATATTTTTTGGGATTATCTTAGTAAAAAAAAACATACACAGAGGACTTAGTTTAGTTTATATGCATGCATTGGTTCAAAATAGTAATTAGTTTCTAAAAACAATACCCTGACAAAGTCTTGCTTCTGAAATCCTGAGTGTTTGTCATTCAAATAAACTGGATTAAACCATTCAAACAATGAGTGATACAATCCAAACTTCATCTGTGTTTTAGCTCTGACTGCAGCGGCTAACTCACCTGTAAAAAAAATTCAAAATTGTAATTGTTTACATTATATACATTTCTTTTCAATACAGTAAATAATTAACATAATAACTGGAAATAAAAACCTAGGGTTGTATTAAAACAACAAAATAGCTGTCAAAATGAAAGCAGACCAGGTTTTTATTGCATTAATATATCCTGAAAGGCAACAGTGAAAATCATTGTATTAACCTCAATTTTGTCATAAGCAACAACATATTAAAATATGAAAAGCATTCAATTTGGTTGAACTATTCTCAACTTAATGCACAGAAACGACATAAAGCGCCATTTCTCAATCAATAACCATTACTAAAGGATGGCAATTGTGAAATTTCGTCAATTTTTGTTGGTTGACTTACAGGGTTATCAAACACATTTTTCTTTAAACTAGATACCCAAATGATACTAGTGTCCAAGTTTGGTGAGATTTGGCTTAGTAGTTTCAGAGGAGAACATTTTTGTCAAAGGGAAATTAGCTATCAAATTCATGTTCACCGATTTGACTCAAATTCTTATATTTGATTTTAAAACACATTCAAATTATAAAAAGTTTAAAATAAACAATTTACGGTGCATAGACTCGATAGTATGTATTAGCATTTCGTGTGTATTTTAGTCTAGACGCCATCTAATTAACCATTGATGTGATCTCCGAAGACTACTGACGGTCATATAACAAAATATAAACATAAACATAGATATAAATAGATTGCGAACTCGTGCAATTGGATTTTCTAGGTCTGTTTGATTTCATATTATAGGTTAAAAAAAGATGTTTATAATCGTTTTTACCTGAATAAGAATGAGTTTTTTTAGATCGAAACAGTCAACCAAATGTTTATCCCTTGTTTCACTTCCAATGTTTACATTCTTTTCCATTTAATAACTGAACACGCCTAGTTCATGCATAACCCATCTCTAGCTATAGGAATCAATTAAAGTATACATGAATACGGATTCAATGAGGTCAAATTATTCACTTCCAAGTGAATAATTCTTTAGCAATGTTTCTTTGCTTATTTTGACAAAACTGAACCAAACTGGTTGTTAAAAAGCGAAATTTATTATTTCACTTTTTTACTTTCATTAATGATTGAACAAAAATAAATCAAATTTTATTTTTTTTATATCTCGTAGCTAATGCCCCTTTAAAGTTAACAGATGACACAAAGGACGCTAAATGATGAGAAAAACTCACCTGGCCCAGAGGGCCAAGTGAGCTAAAAATGTACCTAAGGTCAACCCCACAATTCTCCCTTTATTCATATAACATACAGTATTGTTGTAAAAATTCTTACCAACAAGATCTCTTTTAGGACCAGTTGCATTAGAATTCCAGTTAAAGGAATACTTGGATGGCCACATGGTGTATCCTTCATGATGTTTACTGCTTAATACAACATATCTATAATATAAAAGCAAAGAATTCAAATCAACCTAAAATCATACCAAATTATATTTTTACATTTATCTACAAGGTATGTTAAATAGCAAAATGACAAACTATCCAATACATGTAGTAAAAAATATTCAGGAAGGGATTTATAATACTGTAAATTCAGAAATTATTGCGTGCATTTATTATTGTGATTTTTCACGAATGGACAAAATTGTGAGTTTAATTATTGCGATTACACAAACATCTGCATAAAGATCTATGTTTCAGTTATCAAAATGCGAGTTCTTATTATTGCGATACTCACCTGGTTGCATTATTCGCATTAATAAAAACCTCGCAATAATTTCTGCATTTATAGTACATAAATTTGTTACATGTAGTTTCAATTGAAATGATTAAAAACTAAAGTGAACAGATGGCAACAGTCAATATACACCAAGTGATGGAAATAACTGGACGTTTGTGATGGTGAGCTAAATTCAAAGTTAAAAATGTCTCACACCACAGACACTGACAGAGCAAAAGTAATTGTTGTATGACATCAGTTATTCAATGGTCGCAAAATCTCAGCTTAGGTCTTGCAAATTCCCAAATAGGGTACTGGGAATAAGGTCTGCCCTCTGTAATGCGGATAATCATGACATTTGAATAATTTGATGTTATAATAAAATGCTCCGCTGGGGCGCAGCTTGATACGACCACAGAGGTCGAACCCTGAACAGTTGGGGCAAGTATGGACACAATATTCAAGCCTGATACAGCACTGAATTTGGATTGTAATTAAATATTTGACACAGCATAGGTTTCTAACACAGAATGAATGTGGTCTAAGAACTTAAAAATTTCTAATTTACCTATTCAAACCATATCATTATTATTTGCTTTTATATATAAATCAGAAATAACCAATTGAAAATGGAAAATTTTAAAGAAAATAAAAAAGGAAAAAAAATCTCCCCCCCCCCAAATTTTTTGAACCCCCTTATGATTCATCACCCCCAAACTCAATCCCAGCCTTCCCTTTGTGGTATGGTACCTCACAGTACAATTTCAGAGAGATCCATTACTTGAACACAAGTTATTGTCTGGAAACTAGAAAAATGCTTGTTTTTTGGCCCCAAATTCCTAAACCTTTAGGGAATTACCCCCAAACTCAAACCCAGCTTTCCCTTTGTGATATGGAACCTTGCAGTACAATTTCATAAAGATCCATACATTTACACACAAGTTATTGTCCTGAAACTAGAAAAATGCTTGTTTTTTTGCCCTTTTATGACCCCTAATTCCTAAAATTTTGAAGGATTTACCCCCAAAATCAATCCCAGCCTTCCCTTTGTGGTATGGTACCTTGCAGTACAATTTCAGAGAGATCCATACACTTGAACACAAGTTATTGTCTGGAAACTAGAAAAATGCTTATTTTTGGCTCCTTTTTGGCCCCTTATTCCTAAACGTTTTGGGCAATTACCCCCAAACTCAATTCCAGCTTTCCTTTTGTGATATGGAACCTTGTAGTACAATTTCATAAAGATCCATACACTTGAACACAAGTTATTGTCATGAAACTAGAAAAATGCTTATTTTTGCCCCTTTTTGGCCCCTAATTCCTAAAATTTGGAGGCAATTACCCCCAAAATCAATCCCAGCATTCCCTTTGTGATATGGAACCTTGTGGTACAATGTCAGAGAGATCCACACACACTTACACACAAGTTATTGACATGAAACTATAAAAATGCTTGTTTGGCCCTAATTTCTAAAATTTGGAGGCAATTACCCCCAAAATCAATCCCAGCATTCCCTTTGTGATATGGAACCTTGTGGTACATGTACAATGTCAGAGAAATCCATACACTAACACACAAGTTATGTCTGGAAGTTACAAAAATGCTTAATTTTGGCCCCTAATTCCTTAACTGTTGGTACCATAACCCCCAAAATCAATCCCCACCTTCCTTTTGTGGTATTGAACCTTATGGTAAAATTTCATAGAGATCCATTCACTTAAACTAAAGTTAGAGTGCGAAAACCAATGTGTCTTCGGACGACGACGCCAACGTCATACCAATATACGACCTCAAAATTTTTTTGCCATCGTATAAAAACTACTCAACATGAAAAATGTTGTTTTGATTTGCAGAATGTCATTAGTCATCAATACTGTTTCCTAATAATCCTCTGATCATCAACGAAATTTACACAAATTTTTCAAGTGCAAATTCCACTTGCCATGAATCACATATGTCACTAACCCCTCTGATTTCTATAGTTATTATTCATAGGGATTTAACTACATGTATGGAGCTAGATTGACTTGAGCCGTCTTGAGGCAGCAAAGACTTGGGACAGATTAACTTGTGGCAGGTTTGGAATGGGGCCGGAACGACCTGATACCAAGCTCCCTGCATTTGGATTACATCCACTGGAAAAAGTACCAGAATATACAGAAAAAATATTTACAAAAACACATGAACCAGTGATGAAGCCCTGATAATTTATCTCGTTCTGTACAATAAATCTACAGTTTGAGCAATTATTATGATTATAGCTTGCTTAATATGGCTATGTTCATGTTTTAGCTCAGCTGAAATATGTGTATACAATAAAAAATCATTTCCATTTACAACTTAAATGAAATTTCTGTTTTCACTTATTATTTGGAAATGCATTCTTTAACTTGATTGTCTATAGAACATGTACGGTAGACATAATGAATAATCACTCCAGAATAAAATTATGAAATCAATTTTTACATTTACTAGTGAACATGGTGAAGAAATAATATCCCAAAATCATGATAAAAGTGCCAACACTATACATTGATACATGTATATGCATTTTAGAATTTATTAAACTACATTTGTGCATTATCCTGTTCACTTCCAATACTCAATTCTTATGTTACATTTTTTTTTTTGCATTTCATCACAGTTAGAGTCTTTTATTCACTGATGTTATAAACACTCTGTAACTCATCTTACAAAAAGTAAATTCAAATTGGTAGATAATACTTATAGTTATAGCTACCAAATATTGAACTGAAATTTCATTTGAAAAATTTAAAACTTTGGCAGGGGGCTAAATCCAGCTACATGTATGGTGTTGGTCGCATATATTCTTCTTTCAGTATGTTTATAATGTGCATGGACTTACAGGACAAACAAAGAACATAAAAAAAAAAAGTACTGGACTTCTACTTTTATTTCTACCATTTTGCGGCCACCGTCAATAAACTGATTATTTTGCCACTTTTGTAACTTTTTGGAGACTTGACAGTATATAAACAACAATTTTAGTTTAAACCTGTTCCATGTGTTCTGCTCATTGTACTATGTATACATGTATTAAGCTAGAATTTTAATTATATTTTGGACATACTTCTACTTCAATCATATAGTGAACGCCTTCAACAAATTGAAGGTTATGTCACTGGAGGATAACTTATAACAAGGCAAAGACCGTACTGTGACCTATAATGGTTTACTTTTATAAATTTTGACTTGGATGGAGAGTTGTCTCATTGGCACTCATACCACTGTTTTTTACCACATCTTCTTATATCTATAGATTTATATACATGATATACAGTCAGGGGTACTACTTGTACAAGTAATCTTTATTTACTTGAAGAAGTAAATAAAATATACTTATACAAGTTAATTATATTGTTTGAATGATCTCCCCTTAATTTTCTTAAAAATTTACTTGTACAAAAAACTGTATATTACAAAGAAACTGATTGGGCAAAGATCTTAAGTATTTGCGCAAGGCCTTCAAAAATTGCTCCTTTGGGGCTTGTAAATGAGCAGTGTTCTAAAGATAACAGACAAATGAGATTTTCATTGTCCATGAAATTACACTTAAATGAATAGTAAAGACATCTGCAAAGGACAGACAATTCAAAACTCTGTTAGAGCAAATTAAAGAAGTTCTAAGAATTCAAGAAAAGAAGATAGGATGACTTTTTTAATTGTATAAGTAAAAAAAAATCTGAATGTCTAAGGGACATAACTAGGCCAAAAAATAATTTACTTATTCAAGTAAATAAAATACACTTGTATAAGTATACTACAAATTTACTTATATAATAGATATAAGAAGTTGTGGTATGAGTGCCAATGAGACAACTCTCCATCCAAGTCAAAATTTATAAAAGTAAACCATTATAGGTCACAGTACGGTCTTCAACACAGAGCCTTGGCTCACACCGAACAGTAAGCTATAAAGGGCCCCAAAAAATTACTAGTGTAAAACCATTCAAATGGGAAAACCAACGGTCTAATCTATATAAAAAACGAGAAACGAGAAACACTTATGAACCACATCAACAAACGACAACTACTGAACATCAGATTCCTGACTTAGGACAGGTGCAAACAAATGCAGCGGGTTTAAACATTTTAATGGTACCAAACCTTCACCCTTTTTCCTGAAACAATAGTGTAACATCACAACATAGAAAGACACACTATAAAATATAAGTATATTATAATTACTTCTTCAAGTAAATAAAAATTACTTGTACAAGTAGTACCCCTGAATGATATATGTACAAATTAAAAATAGAGGAAAAATGAAAATTACAAATGTACAATCAGTTTGATGTGAATAGCTGACTTTAATATTGATGTTTTGAGATTGCAGATTTGAGAGCATGTACAAATGTACCTGTCAATCTATGAAAATGAAAATGCAGGTCATGAAATTTTTTTTTTTTCAAAATATCAATTCTTTAAATGTTACAAGATAGAAAAAAATCTTTTACCGGGAAGTAATATTCTGATATGTTTTTGCATTCAATTTGTTTAAGATTTAATCTTTTTACAAAAAAACATCAATTTGAGGAGTATACTGTGAAAAGTGGCAAAAAAGAGGATGTAACTCAAATGTTGAAATACTTTGAAATACACAATTCATTTCTGACCTTTAATAAACTACATGTAAGTTAAGTATTGTTAATTAGCAGTGTGTTTGACACCAAAGCTGTCAAGTGAAGCCATTCACTTAATGGGTCACATACCATACTTGTAATTTGACAGTTAACACAGCTACAAAATGTAGTTGGGGCCTCGGTGGCCAGGTGGTCTAAGTAGTTCTACTACTGTAATCACTAGCCAGTCAACACTGAGGTTGTGAGTTCCAACCCCGCTCTTGCGGGTGTACTCGACTCCAATCTTACTTGACTAGGATTGTCAGTTTTCCTATCAAAGGTCGGTGGTTTTCTCTGGGCACTCCGGCTTCCTCCACCCATAAAAAACTGACAGCCACAAAATAGCCCAAAAATGGCGCTTTAAAGTGGCGTTAAAACACCAACAATCAATCAATCAAAATGTAGTTGAACTTCCTGTTCAGGAAGAATAAATTATTTACATTTTTGAAATTTAGCTGAATTTTGTCTCCGAATGACCTTAGATCTGCTCTGAATAAGTTAACCTTTTGACGTCAAGCAACAATCACTTTTTCATTATGACGTCAAATTTTTTAAATTGTGATGTCAAATTTACGGGAACTTGTGTGATTTTACGTATTAAATGGCGGACAAATTAGCAAACAAGTGTAAATACGTCTATTACCAATTTGCCAGTATTTCAAAGGAAAATCACTTATGAAATCTATCATTTCATACCTAAAAAGTTTGAGGGCTCAAGAATCCAGGTGAAAACTGGTCATTTACGGAATTCCTGGGTTATTTAACGACCTGGCAGGTATTTAAAAATCCTGTGTGAGAGGTGAAATTTACGGGTGTCACTCGCAGAATACAGGTCAGTTGACAGGTATGTGAAAGAGTCTACTGATGTACAGTTTATGATGTTATCAGGTAGTTTGTTCCAGTCAATTGTTCTCTAAAAAAACATTCTTTTCTGTACTATGTTTTGCAGGATTTGTATTCTTACTTTGCACCAGAGTTCTGGAACATTTCAGCCCATTCCTCTGGAACAAAAAATTCTGTTGTGAACATAGCTGCAAAATCTGCATAAGTAAAATCTGGACGGTAGTTTTTCTGCATGTAATCCACAATAGCCGGCATTGGTTGGCCTTTCCATTGCCACCAAAACCACTCCGATGAAAAGGCTGGTACAGAATATAAACCCCAGTTTACAAATACACCAAACTTGGCATCATCAAACCATGGTGGGAGTGGTCTTGCATCTAAAGAATCCCATGTCGGATCGTATTTCAATGAATTAACATAAGAACACAGCAAAACAAAACAAATCAAGTAAGCAGCCATTTTCTTTTCACGTGATGAAAACAAAGATCATGTCACATGATAAACTCAGGTAGTGTATGCAGACCGGAGGCTGAGCTAAAGTCCTATAAGAGGGTCGTGTCAAAAGATATTGTACCAATAACTTGTAACATTTAAACAAAGAAGAGTTATCTTTAATATGCTTATTTTTCGTGGCAAAGGTGTTTTTCGTGAACAACTGAACATTCCCTGCTATTTTATCCAAAAACCACAAAGAAGTCATTTGCAGTATGCCACAACGAACGGAACGCAAAGACCTCAAACATATCGAGTTCACCGAAATTAGGCAAATTCTCAAATCTACATTTTTTTCAATTATACATTATAAGAAATTAGTTAAATATAACGGTGGATTAATGAAGTTTGAAAACATTAACTTATAAATGTATTTTTGGATTTTTAATGTTTACCTATTGACAGGTTAATTCACTAAAAGATTGAGCGTTACATTTAACATAGAAATCTGAGTGAAAAACTTTGTTATATCGTAACCATTTTGTCCACAGGAAGGAGACAAATTTAAAAAAATATGTGTAAATTACTGAATACAAGGTTAAACATCACTTGCTTCCTCAGATGAAGTTACTGGTTATAAACGTATTGTTGTTGAACCTTTTCATACTTGAATAAACACATTAACATAAATATACCTACTATATATATATTATTAGTGACTACTGTGGATAGTAAACAAGGAATTGATAGCAAATAGTAAATACATGTTATTTCTAGTATATTTATGTTAATATAACACGGAAAAACACGAAATTATTGAATTCAAAAGAAAACTAAAACATAATGGATTTTGAGAAAAAGGGAGAGGGCTAAAAACATTATCCTGTCCCCATGTACCTATGACATTGATAGAAAGGTTATTCTGTTACTAGTCTGCTTACTGGTAAATGCTAGGCTTGTATAATGATATGAATAATTGACATGTATTTCATTTATACAAATACAGACTTCCTGATGCATCATTGTTAAAACAAGAAGAAAATGGGTTTGAAAACATGGATAGCTGTGAGTGTTGTCATCATAGGTGTGATATTTATTATGTATCCAGAACCGCACTTGACTCCTAAGGTGATAGCATGGAAAGAAGGAGGGAAGTATCTTCAATACAAGAGCTACCAGATATTTTACAGGGGTAATAACACTTACCAACCTTTTGTTGAAAACTTTTAATCATGTCAAAGTGTCAAAGAAGGACATCCAAAATCCAAAATGTACAGTAAATGCAATAGTTAGTTAAGACTTGGATTTCATTATCATAATCAAGGAAGGAATGTATGAAAGATGGTTAAAATCTTAATGATTCTGGCATGTTTTTATTGATTGTTGCTGTTCAATGCCACTTTCAGCACTCTTGGCTATATCTTTACAGCCATTTTTATTGGTGAGGAAGGGAGGAATACCTGGAGAGAATCGCCAATCTTCTTCATGAACACCACAGGCACTTGTCTCTGACAAAAATTTCATATATACCTGAATATTAAACTTTGTTTTTCTATCCATGGAATTGTTTTTTCTGAAAAAAAAAGTGCCTGTGAGGAATACTGGCAGTCCTAGTCCATAATATTATATGAGTTGAATGCACATATCACAAGCAGGGTTGGAAATCACAACCTCATTGTTGACAGGCTATTGAAAACTATCATTGAATTACTTATTTATTTTAATATTTGGTGAAAACTCCTTGCTGAATAAAAATCAAAGTTAATTTGGCTAAAAAAAAATTGAGCAAAGTGTTTGGGATAAGAATTTGGGATTTTTTTTATTATGGTCTAAGTGAAGGTATTAAGATTCTAGGTTTTTATTATTTGCCATTATGCCCTTTTTACTATGTTTTTGTGATAATTAGATAATAACAGAAAGTTTTAAATTTCACTCTTAAACTGCCGCAGCAATATTCAAGCTCTTTATGATCTCTGCTTTCAACTACATGTAGTTTTAATTTAGTTATAAACTAATTTATATCATTTGTCTAATATTTTGTTGTAGCAGCATGAAAAGGTTGACCATACATTTTGACTTCATATAAAGCCAGTTTTTTAATGCAAATCTTCAAAGCAATTATTTGCTTAAGGGATTATTTCAATACATCACATTGCATATTCCACACTTCTCCATTTTAATTAAATTTTCAAATATTTACTACATAGATATAAGAAGATGTGGTATGAGTGCCAATGAGACAACTCTCCATCCAAGTCAAAATTTATAAAAGTAAACCATTATAGGTCACAGTGCGGTCTTCAACACTGAGCCTTGGCTCACACCGAAAAGTAAGCTATAAATGTTTATGAATACATGTTTATTGAGCAGAGATCAAGAACTTTCATACCTGATGCATTTAATTTAGTCCTAATATGCATATGATATCAATTACATTGTGTAAAAGTACATTTGCGCCAACTACAACTAATTTTTAAAGACTTGAAACAGTGTCTAAAAAGGGGAGATAAGTCATCCTTTTTCATGTGCTTTGATGAAAATATCTGGATAACATTCATATTTTAGTGTTTTGATATTCTCATTTCTCAATACAAATGATAAGTATTTCTACCAATTTGGAAATGTTACATCGTTTATGAGCACAGTCCATTTATTTAGCCAAGTATTAGTTTAAATGATAAGTTTTAAATGATTATTTACAATGGTTTGAATCTTCTATGACATCCAATGATAGACATCGTCAGGATGATAATGCAACAGAAACTATGCAGATATTTATATAAATATTCATCATTATTGTCACCCAAATGTAAGTTCAGTTCTTTTTGATGTAAAAAAACAGTAAAAGTACTGAATTACCGAATACTCACAATGGAATCTAATTATCTTGGTTTGTGAAAAAAATATTGAATCTTTAAAGATTTTGAGATTCATAGTAGACTCTTTACTACACAAATTAATGAAAAATATATTTTATGTGGATTCGCAAAAATGGAAATCTCATGAAAATTTGTACTACAAAAATGATATTATTTTTGAATAGAATAAATAACAATATTGATTTATGCTTTTTTTCAGTGGAAAATGGGAAAACAAATGATGGCAGTACATTACTTTGTCTTCATGGATATCCTACGTCTAGTTATGATTGGATGAAGGTTAGTCAAATGATGAGAGAACATTACTTTGTTTTCATGGATATCCTACGTCTAGTTATGATTGGATAAAGGTTAGTCAAATGATGGGAGTACATTACTTTGTCTTCATGGATATCCTACGCCTAGTTATGATTGGATAAAGGTAAGTCAAATGATGGGAGATCTTTATATTGTCTTCATGGATATCCTACTTCTAGATATGATATTGGATAAAGTTAAGTCAAATGATGGGAGTACATTACTTTATCTTTATGGATATCCTACTTCTAGTTATGATTGGATAAAGGTTAGTCAAATGATGGGAGTACATTACTTTGTCTTCATGGATATCCTACGTCTAGTTATGATTGGATAAAGGTTAGTCAAATGATGGGAGTACATTACTTTGTTTTCATGGATATTCTACGTCTAGTTATGATTGGATAAAGGTTAGTCAAATGATGGGAGTACATTACTTTGTCTTCATGGATATCCTATATTTGCAAATAAAACAATATATTTTCAACTGCGAATATTTTAAGAAAGCGTTAACATTGCAGGCAGTGCAAAGTAAAATAAAGTCTTTATACAGCACTGAAAAATTAATTGCTGTTAAAAATAAAAGAAAAGATATTTTTGACAAGAGTTGGAATGCTTTTGCCACTCTTTTCAGTGAATGATCAGTTATTTTTTACAATGTATATGTGTACATAAATTAGTAGAAATAGAATTGTCATATGCTATATTGGCTCTTATATGAGAAAATACAACATAATTCATCTGTGCAATAAATAACCAAAACAAACAAACAACTTTTAATTTCAATAAAATTCTTCTGATTATTTTTCTTTCAATTATTAGTATTATTATTATTTTTTTTTTTTCTCTCCTTCATTATTTGATTACGAAAAAAAATCTATAGACATACTTAAACATATATCTTTATATTTTACTACTCAAACAACACAAACTATATATTTTTCATAACCTGTGCATTTGTTATATAAGATAATCATATGTTTGATAATCTTAATGGTAAGCTTCTTTTTGATATTACTGACATGGTATATAATTTTTAAAAATGGAAAATTGTATGTACATTACTAACAAATACTAACAGCTGTATAAATATGTTATTTACTAATGTTAACGAGGCCGGGATAAGGTACCGGTACTAGATGTTTTATAACTAACAAATGTACAGTTTTCAATAAAATATGATAAATTAAAAAAAAAAAGGTTAGTGAAATGATGGGAGTACATTACTTTGTCTTCATGGATATCTTATGTCTAGTTATGATTGGATAAAGGTTAGTCAAATGATGGGATTACATTATATTGTCTTCATGGATATACTACGTCTAGTTATAATTGGATTAAGTTATTCAAATGATGGGAATACATTACTTTGTCTTCGCGGATATCGAACTTGTAGTTATGATTGGATAAAGGTTAGTCAAATGATGGGATTACATTACTTTGTCTTAATGGATATCCTATGTCTAGTTATGATTTGATAAGGTTATTCAAATGATGTGAGTACATTACTTTGTCTTCATGGATATCCTATGTCTAGTTATGATTTGATAAGGTTATTCAAATGATGTGAGTACATTACTTTGTCTTCATGGATATCATACTTCTAGTTATGATTGGATAAAGGTTAGTCAAATGATGAGAGTACATAACTTTGTCTTTATGAATATCCTACATCTAGTTATGATTGGATAAAAGTTAGTTAAATGATGGGAGAACATTACTTAGTCTTCATGGATATCCTACTTCTAGTTATGATTGGATAAAAGTTAGTTAAATGATGGGAGTACATTACTTTGTCTTCATGGATATCCTACTTCTAGTTATGATTGGATAAAGGTAAGTCAAATGATGGGAGTACATTACTTAGTTTTCATGGATATCCTTTGTCTAGTTATGATTGGATAAAGGTAAGTCAAATGATGGGAGATCTTTATATTGTCTTCATTGATATCCTACTTCTAGTTATGATTTGATAAGGTTTTTCAAATGATGGGAGTACATTACTTTGTCTTCATGGATATCCTACTTCTAGTTATGATTGGATAAAAGTTAGTTAAATGATGGGAGTACATTACTTAGTTTTCATGGATATCCTACTTCTAGTTATGATTGGATAAAGGTAAGTCAAATGATGGGAGTACATTACTTTGTTTTCATGGATATTCTACGTCTAGTTATGATTGGATAAAGGTTAGTCAAATGATGGGAGTACATAACTTTGTCTTCATGGATGTCCTACGTCTATTTATGATTGGATAAAAGTTAGTCTAATGATGGGAGTACATTACTCTGTCTTCATGGATATCCTACATCTAGTTATAATTGGATAAAGGTTAGTCAAATGATGGGAGTACATTACTTTGTTTTCATGGATATTCTACGTCTAGTTATGATTGGATAAAGGTTAGTCAAATGATGGGAGTACAGTACTTTGTCTTCATGGATATCCTATATCTAGTTATGATTGGATAATGATATCTTTAAACATTTTTCTGTCCAAAGTTTGATTAATTTGACAAGTCAATGAATCATGTACAAATCAGTCATCTTGACTTATAGAAATAAGAAGATGCAGTATAATTCCCAATGCAATGAGACAACTCTCCACCAGAGACCAAATAGTATACCAGTAATCAACTGTAGGTCACTGAATGACCTCCTTAATCTATTTGTCTTTCCCAACTTCCCAGAAGTCCACTAAACTGATTAGTCTGAAGAGCAAGTAAACTTTCTAGATACACAATGGTAATGTCTTTTTTTTTAAGAAATTTTACTAGAGGTTAATCAATTAGTTCACTCTAAAAATTAACAAAGGACCAAGAGCATGGTTGCAGAGCTTGCAAAATTTCATTAGCCTTGGCCTTTTATAAGAGGTATATAAGTTTTTAAGACTTCATTTACATTGATCATTGATAATGTTAATTTTATTTAAGACTTGTTGTAACATTTTTCTCAAAAGACTTTCAACATAAATTCAATCATGATCATTATAGTAGGTGAGACATTTCAGTGTGTGTGCTCTTGTTTGGAAAAAAATCATGAAAAAAATCAGACCTTCCATTGATAGACAGACCCTTTTACCATTTAACACAATCATTTATAATTAAAATGTAGTACTAAGTGAAAACCGCTAGGACCTTTGCCTGAAAAAATCACAATCATTCTGAAAATTCGTGTTTAGATCATTTAGATACGAATTTTTTACCATGTATCATAAGGGTTATGCCAGTATGTCCTATTTTTAATTTTGTCTTTGGATGTGATATTCATAGCTTAAAAAAAGTTTATCTTTCTGAGCTCTGAATGGAAAATTAATAGGTAAACAATTATGATTTCAGATATTGGATGGTCTGAAAGAACACTTTTCCAAAATTATACTGTATGACTATATTGGGTTTGGTTTTAGTGATAAACCTGTAAGTATATCAATCATTTACAATTACAAAATTTACTATATGTTGAGATTATAATTTTTCTTTATACATTGTCTAGCTATTCTTTTTTTTTAAAGAGGGATGACAATACCAAGGGGAAAATCAATAACCACATGTCAAAATAACACAAATAACACCATGGCAAAAAGAAAAAAAACAACAAAATGTTACATAGAAAGATGGAGCTCCACGAATCCCACCAGAAAGTTTTCTTTTATTTTTGTTATGCCTTATTTTTTTTCAAGGAAGAGAGACACCATTGTCTTTTGCCAGAATTGTTCTTCTTATACATGTGTCCAGGCTAGAACCTTTGAAGTATTAAGTATGTTGGTGTATCACCATAAGATAATGTGTTTCGTGTTATCAAGACTAACATTGACCTTCACCTTTGAAGTTCAATTTATTAGTTTTTGTACATATAGGCCTATCTCTTGAGAACATTATAAGTCCTGTGATGGTTATTCACAGTTAGTCAGTCAGTTTGTAAGTTCTTCATGAAAGTTTCCTATACTTTTTCTATAATACCTGAATAAATTGATTAAATATTTGGTATATGGTCATATCATCGAAAGTTACAGATCAAGTTTTAGTTTCATTCTGTGTGAGATTATAATTTTAAACAACTAAATATTAAAGGAAAGGCATATAGATTCTTACAGACACCAAAATATGAATATTGAATAGCTTTTGAATAACTTGTTGACATTCTGAACATTTAATTTTCAGGATAACCAAACATATACTATAATGGAACAGGCAGATATAGGGGAGAGAATTTTGAAGGAACTTAAGGTCACCAAAGTTCATATCTTGGCACATGACTATGGAGATACAGTTGCATTAGAATTGCTTGCAAGGTATATTCATAAAAGGTCAAAGTAGCTTAATTTAATAGAAGTTATTGGAACTTTCAGGCTCCTGGAATTTTGGGAAACTTGGCTTCAACTATAATTTCCTCAATTGATAGATACCATGTGCTGAAAGAGAATTATTAAAGCTCTCAATCAAAACTGATAATTACACTTTTCATCAATACTTAAATAGTCTATTTGATATTTGCTATATTTAATATTTCTTAATATCATGAATGCCTGAGATGAATTACAGAAAACCTTTCAGTTCATTTACAACTTTAAAGAATTTGATATATATGGGGAGATAACTCAGCCATTTAATTATAATAAATCAGAATAGTAATCCTGCATTTTTCTATTAATTTTTCAGAAGTTTTAGATGAAAGCTATCTTTTTTTTACTTTGTTACACAATTCTGTCATGTACTTTTATATCTGTTAACAGAACTGAGTTTTTTTTCACCATATATTTCTTTGGAAACTATGAAAATTTTCACATCTTGAAAGCAAACTTGTACATATACTTTTTATATAATTTTGGAAATTTCACGATATTTATATATTGATAAGGAAAACACTTTGATTTATTAATATACTATCTTATACACCAATAGAAACTAAATCTCAGTTTATTGTTGATAAAAAGTAAATGCAATTTGATTTTCTATAAATGGTACAAATTAATAGATGAGGGGAGATAGCTCTGTTTAGCATATATATCTGTGAACTAGTAATTTTTTGACTTAAAATATAGTCTTTCCACATAGTTTAAACATATTTATTGTTCCAAATGAAAAATGGATAAGTCATAAATTGTACACTTATTTATGTCTTCTCCAAGCATTTGCTTGTATTGTAACAAAAAAAAATAAAAGTACTTTTTGTTTTGGGTATTAATATATCTCTAATTTCTTGGTGAGTTTTAATCACTTACCCCCGGTAACTTGAATATACCTCTTATAAAATGTTTTCTTAAACCATCCATTGGTTATAGACTATCTTGTTGGTAAAAACAATTAATTTCATAATATTAAGTAAGCATGTCAAAAAACTTCTATTGTCACATGTTGAATTTAATTATAATTTTTTTGGTACTATTGTCAAGTTTTTGAACATAAGTACACTTGTGTAGCAGTTTGATACAAAAATTAGGATGTTCACAAAAAGATCCACATAATTTTATAATGATTAATAATAGGACAGACATGTCTTGGGATTACAGCTCTCTCTCTGTTACCTATTTATTTAATTTTAGATACAATAATAAAGAAAACAAAGACAGAATTCCAGGAATACAGACACTTTGTCTGTCTAATGGAGGTAATAAAATAAAAATGTTTAATCCAGAGTACTGTGGATTCTTTATTTTTTGTGTGTACCATTTTTTTTTTAGATTAAGGAAAAATTGTATTTTCGTGGATACGTGATTTCGTGGTTTTGCGAAAGTGTGCATACAATCCTATAGAGAATTTGTACTTCCTTGAACATTTAAAATGGTAGTTGAACTGTACCCATGAAATCCACAAAAATTAGTATCCCACGAAATATAATGAATCCACAGTATTTAAACCATTAACTGATGTATGCTTTACATCAAGTGACAAATATTAAAAGATTACCGTATTTAAGAATGAGATGTCTCATGTTTTTTCTCCAAATAATAAGTTATGAAAATTTGTTTGCTGAATATTATATTTACAATCATAGCAAACTTAAAGATATTTTTGCTGACTATAGCCAATGACGTCCTAGGATGATTGAGTCGTTCAGGTTGAAATTTTTTTTTGCAGAAATATTTGTCCGAAAGAAAAAAAAATTGTTGTTGAATATAATTTGTACTTAAAATTGAGAATGGAAATGGGGAATGTTTCAAAGAGACAACAACCCGACCTAAGAGCATAAAACAGCCAAAGGCTACCATTGGGTCTTCAATGCAGCAAAAAAATACAGCACCCGGAGGCGGTCTTCAGCTAGCCCCTAAACAAAAATGTGTACTAGAAAATGGACGTCACACTAAACTCTGAAACATATAAATGAACCAAAATTAATAAAAACATACAAAACTAACAAAGGCCAGAGGTTCCTGACTTGGGACAGGCGCAAAAATGCGGCGGGGTTAAACATGTTTTGTTAGATCTCAACCTTCCCCTTTACCTCTAGCCAATGTAGAATAAACAAACACACAGCAATATGCACAGTAAAACTCAGTTCAAAAGAAGTCTGAGTCTGATGATAGAATAGGTAACAGAAGAAACTAAGCAAAATGACAATGATCAACATAAATTAACAAAGGACTACTAGCAGTTACTGACATGCAAGCTCCAGACCTCAACTAAACTGATTGAAAGATTATGTCTTCATCATATGAAAATCAAGCACAATCCCTCTCGTTAAGGGTTTAGTATCATACCATCATAAAATATACGAGAAGAACATAACCTGTATCATGCCAACAACTGGTTTTAGAATAAATGTGTTTATTTCCGATGCAAAGATCCTATAAGTGAATCAATATTAATTCCAAAAAATGTCATCTTTAAGTTTAATGACCTGACAACAGTATCATAACTATATCCCTTCTGAATAAGTCTGTTTAAAGGTTTGGTTAGCTTTTGAGGTGAATTACGACATTTTTGTGCTTTGTATAGAATATTACCATAAAAGATTGGATGTGAAATACCTGAAGGTATAAGATGTCTGCACGTTGATTTTTATTTACGATTGATGTCCTTGTACCGATGATAAAATTTAGTAAATGTTTTGACAAGTTTGTGATATCAAAAACCCTGGTGTAATAATTTTTCAGTAATACAGCGATTTCTTTCGTAAAAATCAAATACGTTGTTACATACACAAACATCATAAGATGGTGACAAGGGAACGTCACAATCTAAAAATGGATAATTAACGATAGGAAATGAACTTGTAATATAATTTCCTTTTTGAGGCATTAGCTATGATTAAGACAAAAAAATAAGATAGGCTTTTTTTTGTTTGTTTCAAACATTTTAAAAGTTGAATATTGAAATGATATTTCCGTATTTAAGTTAAGTGAGTTTGGTTCGATTTGGTCAAAATAATCTCAAAAACATTGCTGCTGTATTATTTGCTTGCAAGTCAACAATTCCGTGTCATTTGAATACAGTCATGTGACCTTTAATTTGACACTTAGCTAGAGACAGGTTACACATGTGCTGAGCATGTTCAGTTATTAAAAAGAAAAGGCCACCACTGAAAAGTGAAACAAGAGAGCCACTAGGTAAGACCATTTCGTTGACGGATTCTACCCACAAAAAATGGTGAAACGATTATTCACATATTTTCTTATTTATGACATGAAATCAAAAAGACCTTGAGAAATCTTCATTTTACGATTGCATGTGCTTCTATGTCTATATATATTTATATTTAGGTTTATAATGGGTCATGTGACCATCAACAGACTTTGTTTGTTAATAAGAAGGTGTCTAATCTAAAATACACCAAAATTTGGATAAATTATAATAAGTCCATGCATTGTTAATTAAATTGGTTCTTTTGGACTTTTTTGGTAATTTGGATATTTGTTTTAGTATGTTATAATCAAACATAAGAATTTTAGTCAAATAAGTGAACAGATATGCTAGAGCTAATACCCCTTTCAGATTTTTGTTTATCCATCAAGTTTTGTTATTGTGTTATAAAAAGAAGATGTGGTATGATTGCCATGGAGACAACTCTCCACAATAGAACAAATGACACAGAAATTAACAACTATAGGTCACCGTATGGCCATCAACAATGAGCAAAGCCCATACCGCATATAATAAATTAGCTATAAAAGGCCCTGAAATGACAAATGTAAAACAATTCAAACGAGAAAACTAATACAATAGACCAAATGTTAGTATATCTCTTATATATTTTACTTTTTAAGGCATCTTCCCAGAAACTAATACCCCTAGACCCATTCAGAAAGTAAGTACATTATTTAATTAACACTTCCTTTTTCCAAGTAAAATAATGAATTATGTACTCTTATATATTTTACTTTTTAAGGCATCTTTCCAGAAACTTATGCCCCTAGACCCATTCAAAAAGTAAGTACATTATTTAATTAACACTTCCTTTTTCCAAGTAAAATAATGAATTATGTACTCTTATATATTTTACTTTTTAAGGCATCTTTCCAGAAACTTATGCCCCTAGACCCATTCAAAAAGTAAGTACATTATTTAATCAACACTTCCTTTTTCCAAGTAACATAATGAATTATGTACTTTTAGAAGCATTCTTGAAAATAGAAATAGTTTAGTGGAGGAGTTCCTTCCCCTTAAAATGAGTCTCTGTTGAGGATATTTGGCTTGACTGCATTTCCCAGCTTTAGTTTAATATCAAAAAGTATGCATGTATTTAAAGTACAAGAGCAAATATATGAAATTATCATCAAATATAGGAAATTATCTAATCTTGTTGAAAGTAAAAGGACAAGAACATTTCTGGGCCAAATTGGTCTTATTATCAAATATATTTCAAACTATCTCTGATTTCAGAATTAATTAAATGCTGAATGTATGAACTTTAATAAAACAACAAATGGCAAATTATGCAAATCTTGAATATTTGACCTGCACATGCTTAAAAATGTACCTTGTCCTTAGGAATATGCAAAATCCTATTTCTGTATGTTGTTTGAAAAAAAAAGCCTAATATACTGTGAAGTCCAGTAATTTGTCTTTCCCTTAAGTCTGTGCAATTCCTTTACCTAGACTTTAATGCATATACAAAATTTAGGGCTGACATCCTGAGTGTACAATTACATGTCCTTTACTGACATTACAGTGCTACTTTATTTTTAGTTACTTTTAAACCCTTATGCTGGACCAATAGCCTCAAGAGTTACATTCTTCTTTATATTTAAAACAGCGTGAGTAAATCTTTCAAATTAGATCTCAAGCCAAGTACTGTAAATTTAGAAATTATTGGGAGGTTTTTATTTATTTCAATAATTAGATTGGGTGAGAATCGCAATAATATGAAAAATATAATTGTGTAATAATAAATAATAAATCTCGCATTTTGGTCTATTCTTCAAAAATCATAATAAGAAATGCATGCAATAATTTCTGAATTTACAGTAATAGGTAGAAAATGGCAGCAGCACCAGTTTTTCCCTGATATGTCTTCATAAATAAATCAACTGGAAACACAGAGGATTTTGTGCGTGCTTGTTCTGGAAGATACAAAATTAATTAAATATGTAACTTGTTTATAATATTTAAACAGAAAAAATATGATATGGAGAGAAGAAAGAATACACTCCAACAACTTCTTTTTCATCAAATATTTTTTCTCATTCATATAACTATAAGTCAGTGAAATTTAATGTGTTGAAATAACTGGAGGTATTTTAGTTAAACAAAGACTTCAAGACCCCAATTGACTGTGGTTTTGTTTTTGCACTTTTGTATATCCCATATTAATTATGATGCATATCTTTGCAAAACATACACTCGTATAAAGGAATCAGTCATGGAATCATTTTATCATTTAGCTTTGGTGAAATATTTGGACCTGAAACAGTTCCATTAGAAGATGACTTGTGGGACTTCTTTGTAATTATATTACACAAAAATGGTCACGTCATTAGTCACAGGTAAAATATATTTGTTATTTCATGTGTTTTCACAATGAAAAGCAAATAGTTTTGTTCTTTGAACATTTGGGTCAAAATGTACTATTAATAAATTTTGTTGATTATCACTTGAATTTATGATATATTATACTCTGCTTATGTAATTCATTTACTTAAATGATAATTTTTATAACCAGAATCTGTCAGAAAGATATAAGGAAACTATAAATTTAAAAAAAAAAGAAGAAATAATGCATGATGTATGCTAGGATACGATTTGTCATTGGTGACCGTTTGAAATCCAAGTATGAAGATAGCTTTGACAATAGTTTATAGATTATATTAATGGTATCTTGCCTCATTAACTGGCATGAAACTGTATTGCTATTTTAAAAGATAAAAAAATATTAGAGATTGATGTATTAATTGATAAAAATCCAGTGACAAATATTACATGCATTCTCAAGAATATAACCTGTTAAATTCATATAGCCTATTATTGTTAACTTTTTACACATTGTGACTTGGATGGAGAGTTGTCTCATTGGCACTCATACCACATCTTCTTATTTATATTACCCACTTCTTTGTACTTAGCTGATATGCTGAGTTGGATTTTTTTTATTTGTGAACTCATGTTAAAAATATTTTCCACTACAGTGAGATCTTGTAAGCTGGATATCTTATGCTGTAAGCAGTATGGATCAATACTTGTATACCAATAATATACCCAACTTTCATTTTTTATGTTTTTATAGACTAATGCAATATATTACACAAAGAACAGAGTTCAAGGACAGATGGGTTGGTGCCTTGAAAAATACACCAGTTAAAGGTATGGATAAAAGATTAATGTAGATTAACCCTTGACATAATTGGCTTAAATATTTGTCACTGTGCTTTTCTAATTGCCAAAAAACTTTAAAGCAGCACTTTGAATTCATTTCTTCAAACTGACTGCTGAAAAGTTATAGCCATTACTAGAGAAAAGTAGTAGTTAGTATTAAAAAGTGCTGAGATTTACTGTTATGGTCTCAATAATAGTTTTGAAATAGCACTCTAAAAATATTTCTACCATCCAATTCATATGATTGATTTTCTGTTTCACAAAAAGTTATGAAAATAAAATACCTAGTTATACCTTTTATAAAGCTGTGTAACTTCAATATTCTATTATAATAAAGGCATTTAGTAGTTAATTTGTTCTAATCATTATTTTTAAAACTATTTGCTATGTGTTAAGAAAAGAAATTTTAAAATTTAATTGTTTGGTAGGTTAAAATTCTGTAGAAAAAAAGTTGGATACATTATATAAATCGGAGATTATCTGGGTTACACTTTACATCAGTTATTTTGCTTTAAAATTATCTCCCTTTAAGTTCAGTATAAGATAAGATAAGATAAGATATTTTATTTCCAATTATGGGCCCCAAAGGGCATAAACATTACAACATCAATAATTTTTCATAATACAATACAAACAATGAGATAAAAAAAAAAAAAAGTTAAACAAGAACTATTTAAGTTCTTAAAGAATACGTAGATAAAGAATCTATAGTATGTTTTTTTTTTTAATACTAATGCATTTTATTGCAAGTGTGGTTGATAAAGATAACAAACAAGTATATGTAATAATAACTAGAAAAATATTCAGAAACGAACATGCAATAACTAGTTTTTATTAGAAAACAATCTTGTCAAAGCAACAATTCAATATTTATTGAAACAATGTTAAAAAAAAAAAATAGTTTCAAAGTTTTAAAAGCTTTTTAAGCAGTGATCTTTTTAATGTGTGTATTGTTTTTAGTTCATATGATTTTTGGCCCAGCAGACCCAGTAAATCCAGATTCTTTTATTGACTTCTACAAGTGAGTATTCATTTCTTTTTAGAGACTTTAAAATATTTTTTTGATATATAGAATTATGGAGATTGGGTATGATTGCCAATAGAGAGAAATCTAATAAAGAGCAATGGACAAGGATTTAAACAACTACAGGTCAATGTTTGGCCTTCAACAATGTGCAAAATCCATCTGTATAGTAAGCTATAAAAAGCTCTGGAAAAGCAAAATTTGAAACAGTTCAAAAGAAAAAACATAAATTTAAAGTTAAGCTATGAACAATAAAGAAAGAAACAATTATAACAGACAGCAACTGCTAAACCACTGGGCTACAAGCTTCTGGCTTTGGACAAAACATAAGAATGTGGCTGGATTAAACAAGTTTGTGAACTTTCATCCCTTCCTATCATCTGGGACAGTGGTGTATTAGAACATCATTGGAACAAACAGTAAAAGTATGTTGACAGTAATCTTGAAATGACAGGGCATTTTTATCAGTGCATTTAAAAGTTGTTTATGTTATATCTATTTAAATGTCAAATGAATATACTTTACACTTTTCAACCAGATTAGTGAATTTCAGTCACATAATTTGAAGTTTAGTTTGATTTAATTCAATATTTATTATTCAGGTAAAAAATACAATAATTTCAGATGTTAAGTTTTCTGTTTCAATGTAAAATACACATAGAAATCTCAATCAATCTTGAAAAATAATGTTTTTTCTAGGTAGGTATAAAAATATGCCATAATGAACATTTTGTTTTTTGGTGATATTTTAAAATTTGTACCATTTGAAATCATTACTTTGTTATAGTTTGACTTGGTTGATTTGCATTATTCATAATTCATATAAAGTAATTTTGCATTTGCACAGAACCTGATATTGGCAAATTATTTAGGTGTAAGCAACCATAGCCTTCAAAAGTGAGCAAAACACATACAGTTTAGTAAGCTAAATTATACCTCACCATGACAAAACTTAAAATAATTGAAACTAGAAACCTGTTGGCCTGATTTATGGAAAATACAATAAAGGAAAAATAAATATGATAGTCAGCGAAGAAAGACAACCACTGAATTACAAGCTCCTGACTTGAGACAGGCATATACAGTGGGGTAAAACATGTTTTTGTTCGGTCAACACTCTCCCTGATCTGGAACAGCAGTGTAACAGCACAACATAACAAACAGTAAAAATCGGTTGAAAAAGTCTTGACTCATCGAATCGACACAAAGCATAAAAAAACTCAAAAAAGACGTTAGACACAAAGTACCATTGATAGAGTACAAGAAGTTGCTGAAATTTAGTACTAAGCCAATCATAACTAACAAATAAATTATTTTTCCCAGCCTAAAATATCAATCAGTACACATCCAATGGATTTAATAAAGATATCATAAACAGTATAAGAAACACATGACCTTGTGCAATGACAAAACATAATTGTCAACAGGATGTAGGACAATAAGAGTTCAAACTGTATGGCAATACATTGAGTTTATATGTTTTAGTTTATTAATATCAAAATCAATGTTAATACTGATAAAAAAATATTCAAAGATCTTATTGCAGAGTTAAAAAGTTTCTACTGAAGTCGATCACCTTTTTGAAAAGTATATATTTTATTCTAAAGTATGATAAATGCATTCATTACCTTAATGACCTTAATATAAAGTTCTACATACTATTTTCAGGAAATCAGTACCACAGCATGGTATCACAGTTCTTGACCCTAAGATAGGTCACTATCCACAATGGGAGGCTCCTACAGCATTTATTGATGCTTATTCAACATTTATTAGAAAAACCAAGTCATAACAGCCCTTTATTTATTTGTGTGGTTCATCAATGAAATGGTGTTAAAAACTTTTGTGCCATAATGGAACAGCAACATTTTTTATATTTGCTCTCAAATTCTGGACTGTGATATGAATTAATTGTTTATATTTCATAATAAAATGATAAATAGACCCATATATTTCTACTCTCTTTCCTTCAATAAAGTCTACTGTTTTTTGGCCTAAAATACTGTAACGTATACATGTACATCTGACGTTGGTCAACTAATCTTGACCTTTTATCACAGCTAACTAGTAACTTAATTTTTTCGCACACAGTCCAGTTTCTTGTTCATTTTTCCTAAAGAAAATAGGTAACAGGAATTACCAAAAAGTATTAGACATTACAAAATGGGCATACAAACCACAAAGTTTGGTGACTATGTTGAGCACATCTTTCCCTTCGAACTTGAAATAAAGGATACCACAGAAACAGTTTTCGCCTCATATCTTGATTAACATCTAGAAACTGAAAATTAGGGTTGGTTGGGAACAAAACTTGACCACAAAAGGGACAATTGTGAACTTTCCATTTCTATGTATCAACATTACAGCAGCATCTGCTATGGAGTATATACCTCCAAGTTGATGTGATTTCCAAGAGCTTGCATTTTTCTGGGAATATATTATGTCCCAGCGTTTACTATCATGATTTCTTTGATAGAGGTTTGCTGCTTACAAGACGTGATTGAACCAAGGGTTGAAGATATCCCTTCAAAAGTTAAGGACGCCATCATGAGTTGGTTGACCATTATGGAATATCTGTAAATACCACAGATATGTTCCAATTGTCGTAACCAAAACCCCATCCTCTTTTCCTCAATTATGACATCACCAAATGAGACTTATCGCAGAATTTGTATTTAAAATGAACAACATGACAGGTACCACTAGTTAAGCAGGATCTGCTTATCCTTACAGAGAACATGAGAATACCTGTTGATTTTGGTGGGGGTTCATGATTTTTATGAAATTAATATCAAAAGGTTTATATAAGCAATGTCTCAAACAAATTCGAAAATCAGAGCTGATCAGTTATTTTTAAAAAACTTATGGCCCTTGGAAATATAAATTATATTGAAAATTGCATTGTAAGCACTTTCATCTGTACCATCTTTTTTTTTCTCACACAATTGACTTTTGTTTTACATTTAAGATATTTCTTTATATATGTATTGCTGATGCATGTGTAGTATAATAAAGGACATAAAAGATGTAAACAAAATAAAAAACGATATAAAGTTAAAAATGAAAAATAGATATGAAGATTTAATTGAAACTAGATTTGAAAACATTGATGATAAAAGTAAATTTTATCTATATAAAAAACTTAAAAAAGATTGCAAACTAGAATCTTATCTAAATATATCTAATTTTCAGACAAGGAGATTGATCACTAAATTTAGACTAAGTGATCACTCCCTGTTAATTGAAAAGGGGAGATATTTTAAAATCCCAAGAGAGGAAAGACTTTGTCATAAATGTAAAATACTAGAGGATGAGAAACATTTTTTACTCTATTGTGATTATAATAAAACACTAAGAAATGCCTTTTTTGAACACATATGTACTGAAAATAATAACTTTAATAATTTAAATGAAGAAGAAAAAATTCATTATTTACTAAATCCATCAACGCCTTTACAAACAAATAAGATAGGATCCTTCTTGAAAAAGTCATTAGAACTGAGGGCAGTGGACTCTTTAACAGCTTGTTTGTTTTTATAAATTCTGATGCTGTTTTTATTGTGTTTGTTTGATATGTGCGTATATATATGTTTATTATATGTTTATTGTGTTAATACATGTTGGTCACAAACTGTAAAGTTTATACGACAATAAAATATTTGATTTGATTTGATTATAATGTTTGTTTATTAACTGAAGAGGACTTGTGTATGTTGGAACAACTTATGACTGATTCTTTTGTGTATTTCGAAATAAAACATGTATAACTAAACTACTCATCAGTCAACTTTAGCTAAAACTTTCCATGGAATGATATAATGTATGTATTTTATTAACCTTCCTCTTTTGGTTCCGATAGGATGACATAAATTGTTTAGATTTTGATGGGCCATCTTTTTTGAAAAATCTTCTCTTAAACTACAAGATAATCTGTTTTGAAAATTTAATGGGGATTTCCCGTTTGAATGGTTTTACACTAGTAATTTTTTGGGGCCCTTTATAGCTTACTGTTCGGTGTGAGCCAAGGCTCCGTGTTGAAGACCGTACTGTGACCTATAATGGTTTACTTTTATAAATTTTGACTTGGATGGAGAGTTGTCTCATTGGCACTCATACCACATCTTCTTGTATCTATTTGATAAACAGCAAAATCATCTGTAGTTATAAACTTATCTGAAATAATACCGACCGAGTCTCTTGAGCTGTTCAGGGTTGAATTTACCAGATGAGCGATTCAAACTCTTGTGAGCCTCTTGTTTTGTTTAGTTCTCTTTGTTGAAATTTTAAGCTAAGTAAAACATTCTACTCAGATTTTGCGTATGTTTAAAATCCTTCAATTTTCATCTTGTTTAGGATTTGCACTCCTATTTTTTACCGTCGTCCTGAATATGCATGAACTACTTGCGATTTGGGCTTGCAGCAACCAATCAATCATTCTTTACAGTGAAAAATTTTCAAACTGACATAAATATTTTTCCTTTTTTTGGGAACGTAATTTAGAGTAGAAAGAAAAAAAATGTTAACATGCAATTCCTGCTTTCTTATCTGTAATGTTCCTTATATAAAAAGTATGTTTTATTCCCGGATAGTGCAGTATCATTGATACTAGTGTTATTGTCTTCTTAAACTCATTTCATTCATGTTGCCCGGATTTTTAAAATATTTTTATTTCAATTTTATCTACGCTTTTTCAATACTGAATACTTTGCATCATAAACTTATTGTCGCGATTATACCTATTGGCGGCATTCATTCAATAACATTTATTTTTGTATGTGATCTAATTTTGATTTATTTTCTTTATTTACGCTTTTAGTATGTGAACATTTTTCATACTCCTGTGCATTTATTACTTTGTGCCATGATTGCAATCAATTATGAAGCCTTTGATGGATACGTAATGATTTGAAAATCTTTTAGATCCAACAAATTCAATTATAGACATTGATTGGCGATTAATTAAATAATTAACAAAAGCTTTACAAGGTCGACCCCGAGTTGAACACTACTTAAACACTCTTGAGTAATGAGATGAGCACGAGTTCCCAATTAAAGACCGATATCACTTATTGTCAATTCAAAAATTTAATATAAAATTCATAATATTTCAAATTCCACATAAAACATTCAAATAGTTAAACTTGACAGTCAGAAATCACAGAAACAACAATTATGCTTTCAAAAAAATTATTCGACACAGACGATGAATTTGATGCAATCTCATCCTCTGTATCTACTCTGAGTTTTGATTCTACTCCAGTAAAGGCTGATGACCTTATGTCTGTGATGACTCCAAACATCAGACGAAGTCTGTTTCCTGATGATGACGAGGATTCCGGTCTTGGTATGGATGATCATATTACTTTTACACATAGCTTGACGAAATCTGCCAAGAGACAGCGTCAAGAAGATGACAACTCAAGATGTTCAAAACGACCAAAAGTTTGTACCGATATAAAGGCTGTGGTAACCAAACTTGAAGAGAACGACGATTTCATAGCTGATGGTAGTAGAATACATACTTTACCAACTGTCACTGGAAAACATTCCGATTTGAAAAGCATAACTCCGCAGACACTTGCTAATGTTTTTAATGGAGACTACGATGACGTAATCAGTGACTACAAGATCATCGACTGCCGATACCCATACGAATTTGCAGGCGGACATATCAGAGGAGCAGAAAATATGTATTTGCATGAAACCATTCTAACTTTGCTTCGTCAACCGACTAAACACAAACAGATCGTCATCTTCCACTGTGAGTTTTCATCTGAAAGAGGTCCTAAAATGTTAAGATTCCTAAGAAGCAAAGACCGTGAACTCAATAAAGAAAACTATCCATCACTGAACTTTCCAGAAATTTATTTACTAGATAGTGGCTACAAGGCTTTCTTTAATGAACAGCCAGATCTATGTGACCCAGTGAGCTATCGACCAATGCTTCATTCCGACCACTCAGAAGATTTGCGCCATTTCCGAGTCAAGTCAAAGTCATGGACAGCTGGAGAAAAACGCAGATTTGCCAGGAAAGCTATGAGATTTTAGAACTGTGATATAAATGGTGATTTATAACTAGTGCTTTGAATAATCTGTGATAAAATACTTTTCAGTGCTTTGTTTTATTTAAACCGTGTTTTATGGTTCTTGTTATTTATATGCATGTATTATTGATATATTAAAGGTTACACATATATATTTATCTGCTTCATTTTTTTTTCTTAACAAGTGTGGACACTGATCAGTGTGGATAGTAATTGCTGGATATGGAGTCATGGTACTTTTGGACTTTCATAGTGCATTTTGCATGATACAAATAGTAATATATTATGGAAGAATTATCCCTTTTATTTGACCCCCGTTTGAATATGACTACAATGAATATTTAGTATGGTGTTCACCATCTTAATATCATTTATGTATTGTCTTGTTTAGTGAGTCTGTAGATTTCTGAGAATAGGTGTTTAAATGATTTCTCGTATGGTTCCATGTTAAACTGTGTTCCACGATGACAGCCATCTTGGATTTCAGATAGACACAGACACCTCAAAATTGATATAGGATCACTCTAGTATCATTTATTCAAGATATTGTAAGGTTTAAATGTTCGAGATGGTTTCAGAGATGAAGACATGTGTATGTATTTCCAATGTAGTTAAATTGAGAATTTTAGGTATTCACCAAACACTCAAGATTAACAGAGGAGCATTCCTGGTGCAATTGTGCATCATTTGGTTTTAAAGTTTCAGATGGTTTCTTAGCAGCTGGTGTATGTATTTCCCATATTTTGTTAGTATGTTACACTATGGAGGTAGTTAATATTTCTAAGTTTAGTTCACGAAAAGAAACCTGCAAATTATAATGCTAATAAGTATAGGATTAACCTATTATCATAAGTGCAAGAATTCATTTTAATGAGGTAGTAGTTTTCTGAGATACTTTTTGTATGCATGTCACACAGGGTTCTATGTTACACCATGATCCGAAATAGCAATCTTCTTTGATTTGGAATCAAACCAAAACCTAAAACTCCCAATTCAATATGCCAAGCGTTTCATCAAAAGACCTTTCAATTTTTGGCAATTAGAAAATATGTTTGGTCCTGGCAGCCATATTAAATTTCTGACCAACAGCAAGTTTGGTTTCCAATTTGCAAGTGATTGTACAAAATGAAGATTAATACGCGAGGAAGTTTACCGACGACGATGTCATCAGACTTTCTTGTGTATGTCATGTTCTATATTGAACATGTTTTCTGCCTAGACTCCCAATGACTGGTTGACAATATGTAAAAGAAATAAATACCAATCTAAAATTCATTTTAAAATGGTAACCCCATTATGTGTGTTCATGATTTTGTATGTCTTCTTTCTCGGAGAAATTTATTAAAAAAGAGTGTGTTGATTGAAAGAAATATGATATTTCAACTGAATTTGAAACTAAAAAGTTAGCGTAGAATTTTGTTTTTGAAGTTATGCTAGAGAACGCACTGGGCCTTGCACTGTAAAAATTAATATACCTTTATTAACAGTGCCTGTGACAGAAAGATATAAATGACGAACTTTTGAAACGAATGCGTTATTGCAAATACTAGTGGAGCATGCAGATGTTAATTTCTGTTATTAGATAGATCAAAATTTTGATTTTATCAAATAATGATTAAGTTGAACAATGCAAGACAAATTGGTAGTCTGTTAGGCCTTATGAGATTTGCCACTTTACATGAATATAAATATAAATGAGAGACAATTTGTACTGGTACCTCTTCAGTAGGCAATACATGATTAAAACAGGTTAAACACCTGATGGCAGTTTTCTAGTAAAATAGAGTTAATCTTTTATTTGGATGTCTTGCAGGGAAAAAACAAATGTTTGCTTGCAATGAAAACGAAAAGCTCTAAGTGCCCTTTGGCAGTCTATATTATGCTTAATGATATCATATGCTGATATTTATTATGTAGATTATGCGAATGCTTCAGCCATCCTACATTACAGTTCATATGAACATGTGTTTATTCTGTTTATAAATCTAAAGATAATGCATAACAATGAACGTCTCAGTTAGTGCACGGAGCCTTAATAGGGTGCTCAGTCCAGTGATACTTTACCGAAGTAACTTCCATAGATAAAATATTTCAATCAATTTCATCGATTTAGTTGATGAGAAAAAATGCTGTTCTACAATATAATATCGGCGAATGTACTTTTTTGTAGACAGCAAAGTCATAAGCAGAAGAGACATACATGTTATTGTGTAATGTTGAGAATTGATTCGTACAGACATTCAATTACATTACATATGGGTTTTGTTATAAAAAGGGGCAGGTTTACAAAAGGTCAATATTTGCCTTAAATTTTTATGAAATTTAAGTACAGTAATCTTCAAAAACATTTGATAAGAAAACATCACAAAATACCATAGAAATAGTCTAAAACTTCAGGCACAATTCTCCCGGGATGATTTTATTGAAACAGCATATTTTATGCATCCATAAAACCCTTAATTATACTCAGCTACGAATTCTAAGTGGCAGGGAATACAGTTTTGACTCGCCAGTCGATCCGTCCGTCAGCCCATCAGTTATCAAAACGCCCCCCCTTCTATCAAAGTAGACATTGATAAGTCTACTACATTTGGTATATGAATTGTTATTAGGCTGAGGTTCTCTACTT